CTCTTCGCCGGAGCAGTGGCACACCATCTGGTGAGCTATCTTGAACCGAAGATCACAGCGGTGCCTCTAGTGTGAGCAGTAACCACGCGTACACACCGGCGCAACGATCAGAGACGGCTTCCCTCCCCCCTGCAAAAGGGGCTAGCTTTTAAAAAATGCCAAGCCTGCGCTGAAGGCGCAGCACAGTAACAGCAAAAGCTAGAAGAGCGGTCTTTCAGAGCCTTTTCTAAACACTCATTGGTTAATTGCTGCAATAATACTTGCTTCATACCCACTTCGACATCAACATTAAATTTTTTGGGTAGTAGGCCGGCGTTCGCAATGCTATTTTCGTCATGCTTCTGAGAAGTCTGGTATCCGCTGACCACTTGCAATGAATTTTTCGTCATTTGCTCATGAAGTGGGCAATGACAATGAGGAACTATGCCTGAAGTGGTATGGAACACGGATAATAGGTGAACGAGAACAAGCGTTTTTAATGAGTTGGACCATTGGACGACCCATTCGTTCGTTATTCTCATTCTGCGACGACTGGTTGTTCTTTCGCTGTTTTAAAACGCTTTATAAGTCGTAATAATGCGATTGCTTTCCCGACATCAACCTGCCTATGGAAAGTTTGCCAACAAGTCCCAAGCAGTGGCGTGGCCTAGTGGTTTAATACTGGGTCGGCACACAGCGAATCCGGGTGCAAGCTTTACTGTGTCATTGGTACTAAGTTATAGGAGCCAAGCTCCTTAAGCCGTGTGTCGTGCGTCCGCAATGTATGTAATAGTAGGTAGGCACCTCCACGGCCACACTAGAAGAGTGACACGCACGTACTCTTTAGAATTGAGGAGAAAATTCGCGCAGTAAAAAGATGGTCGCTTCTGATAGAATAACCTACAGAGATGAGTATAGGTGGCTTAAAATCTTCATTAAAAATTGCCTTGAATTTGATGCTCCCTAGAAAACTAGTAAAAAAAAGACGCACTTTCAGCACTATCTGAACAAAAAAGTTTGTAACGTAAAACTTGGTGGGCGTAACCTTCTTAGTATCAGGAAGCCCTCTCATCTCTCGTAGTAGAGTACCAAATGCCCTTAATCGTTAAACACGTTCTTCAAAAGCACAAGTTTCGCGAGTGTAGCGCTGCAGTGGCATCAACTAGATGCGGTGAAAGGTGAGAACTAGACACGAAGCGCAGGCGTAAGAGAGTGTGCGCATGCCGCTCCTCTAATGCGGCCATGCCACTTCTCGTTTTGTCCTTGGAATGTCCACTGGATGGTGGTACTTCTATATGATGCATATAGAATTAAAATATGTGAGAGGGGTTCTTATGTGTACAGATGGACGGGCGGACGCAAAACCGAACACACGGACGGATGGAGGGACAGACGCACAGACAGGTGGATGCACGGATGGACACACGAACGAACGAACAATTGAACGGACTGTCGCACAGACGAATGCACGGACGAAAGCATGGAAGCGCGAATGGAATGACGAATGCTTCACCCCTCATCATCATGCACTCCATGAATATGCTGTGATTTTTTTTGCTAATTTTATGTGATGTGGTTACGGACAACAAAGGCAGCGACGGACCACTTAGGCGCCACACGTGACTCGAGTTGCGATATCATTGCAGCTTTCACTGGAATATTTTGGGGTAGGGGTGGTGTTGGCGCATGCGTGCGTGCGTCCGTCCGTCTGTGTGTGTGTTTGTGTGTTTTGTGTGTTTGAGGGGGGAAGGGAATAATTTCGGCCAACTTAATGTGTGCTCGTACGTGCATTTGTATGTGTTTACGTATGTACGCAGATTCATAACTGAAAAATATATGGATGGCAATGAGGGGGTAATGGAGCAGCTCCCTCTCTCTTCGTGGATACGCCACTGATGATGACCCCAGATGAGCCATCAAGCCATTAAAAAGTGTGCAGTATACAATAACGGCACCGCAGCATAAATGAGGCTGTCGGCAAGGATACCTGCTGCTAATATGAGTTGTTCATAACTTGTGTTGTCACATGATGGGATCGTAGTCTCAGGGAGCCGGGTGCTCTCCTGAAAGACGGATGAAATAAAGCATGTGAATTACAATAGCGTTAATCAGTGAATTGCGTGAATGCAGCTACCATTATATAACACCTAATTATAGACTAATTACGATTACATCTTTTACACACCTATGTCTTCACAGACTCTCGCGCTACCATTCGTGCTCACGAAAGCGGCAACATCGCTCGAGAAGCAGCTCGCATTCTACAACCACGCATACGCATGGCCTTGCACTACCTTTATTGGTTTCCTGGCCGCATGAGCGAAGAGGTCCACAAACAGCAACCCAAGCTCAACGAAATGGCTTATGATCGAGCGTGAGAACTGACACGCCGCTATGATGAATCAGCCACCGAAGAGCTGGGCCCACACACATGGTTTAATGATCCTTTACAAACCTTTCACATTACCTCCTACTACCAAAATGATACAAGCCAATACCCTTTACCACATGAAAAGCTCGAACGCGCAAAAGATGTAGCTTTTCGCATGCTACAAACAAGAACGTACCATCACGAAAGTGACCCTGCCGTTACAACTAAGACATACATTCACAGTGCCCATGCCCAGACTGCTCAGAAGTGTACTGTTCACTCAAGCACATGCTCTGGCAGTGTCCCACGTTACCTCGAGGTTCTCTCTCCAATGAGTCCGACTGGGAAGAGGCACTCAGGAGTCCTAGTCTCAGAAACCAACAAAAGACAGTTAAGAGGGCCCAGGAACTGGCGGAACGCCATCCACGTGTCCAACCCGACTCGGGCGTCACCTAGAGTAGTGGCTGCTGGAATGTCCCTCGAGGACACCCTGGTGGTTTAAACTCCTCAGGACCATTTAATGATGTTGTTGACTGACTGACTGATATTGTATAAAACACACCTTCTGAATTTGCAGAACTACCCAGGTATCTAAAGGCCACGCCTTTAATAGCCTTAGTTTCACCGTACCTGGCAAGATAATCGATCGCGACGATAACCCAGCGGTTCCTTGCAGTAAAAGCAGGAAGTGGTCTGAAGTGATTCATTTTAATCTGGTAGAACGGTGTATATGGGACCTGAATGGTTGCAGCTCACCGGCTTGTTTCGTTGGAAATGATTTGGGTCGCTGGCAATCGAGGCAAGTATGAATGGGGTGCTTGACGGCTGTTGTGAGTTGTGGCCAGTAGTACCCTTTATGCACTCTTGCCGATATGCGAGTGTAGCATAAGTGGCCAGAAGTCGCCTCTTTGTGACATGCTTGAAGCACTTCAGTACGAATGGGTGCAAGAATAACCAGCGAATCGGGAGCTCTAGTGCATGCAAAATTTCTTTTGTAGATCAAGCCTTTGCGTAAAAAATGACGATAACGCTCTTCCAAAAACTCTGGGTGCACTCAAACAACGCCCATCGACGTAACAAATCAAGTCAAGTAACTGAGAATTGCCACGTTGTTGTTCGGAAATGATGGACATGTCGAAAATACCAAGGAAGGCACTATTCGTCAGAAAGAGAGTCTGACTGTACTGCTAATTAAGAGCGGCAGCTGGCGTCCGTATGTCGCTTCGCCAACTTGTGTATGACCGTCACATCAAACTCTTGTACCCTCACATTACAACGCACTACTAGGCTGGTTGGATCTTTTCAACAGTGTGAATGATGGTCATAATTAACTTTGAAGGGTCGGCCATACAAATACTGGCCGAATTCCAACACTGCCCAGACCATGGCGAGACATTCTTTCTCAGTTGTCGAATAATTGGCCGCATCGCATGTCAGCGTTTTCTTCGCAAAGGCGACCACTCGTTTCATGTCCTCTTGCCTCTGCACAAGCTGATTGATATGTGGGCTTTAACATCTCAAAACCACCATAACATTATGAGAGACGTCGTAGCGGAGGGCTCCGGAAATTTCGACCACCTGAAGTTCTTTAACGTGCACCCAAATCTGAGTACACGGGCCTACAACATTTCCGCCTCTATCGGAAATGCAGCCGCCGCAGCCGGGATTCGAACCCGCGACGTGTGGGTCAGCAGCCGAGTACCTTAGTCACTAGACCACCGCGGCGGGGCACCTCTGCACAAGCACAGCTCCCCAGCCTACATTGCTAGCATCAGTATGAAGCAGTGTTGGCGCTTCTTCGTCGAAGTGGGCAAGCACTAGGGGTGTTTGGAATGTTGGTGGACTTCATTCCTTATTAAACGCAGCTTGCTGTTCGTCCTTCCACTCAAAGATAGTGTAGTCTTTAGTGAAGCGAGTTAATGACGATACTTTCCTGCTTAGAAAAAAGATAAAAAGAACCTTGCAGTGGTACATGAGAAAACTCGCATTAGGAGGAAAATGGAGGTGCGAGGAATATGACCTAATTCCATAAATCTTTTTCCCTTTGATTAAAAATATAAACAAAACAGCCGGTAGCCTATGTCAATATAGAGCATAACAGCCATGCAGCCAGTTAAAATATATATAAAGTGTTCTAGACAACGAAAATATCCCTATAAAAGGCCTTTCCAAAAAAAGATAATTCAAAGCCTGCCCTGCAAGTAAAGCTTGATACGGTTGTTTTCACGGAATGTGAACGCTATGCCAATTTGTTTTTCGCAAGATTAGCGAGTTTTACCGTTGAAATTGCCACAACAGCTTGAGGAGTTCCTGACAGAAGCTCGCGGCAGGATTCGGTATGAAGTGGCCGCCTCCTCGTTTCCGCGCAACCTTCTAAAACATGCATCGGTCAGCGCAGGCTACTTGATGAAACTTGCGTCACTTTTTGCAGGCTGATAACGGTGTTTTGAGAAGTAAAAGCTTCTTTCGCAAAAACACGTTACACGTCAAAGGTTGTGAGTCAGTGGCGCACCTTAAAGCAACCTTCAAGTATTGCAATTTAAGTCACATTAAATGACCCATGAAGGGCACTAAATGTCCGCTAACTATCGCAGAAGTACAGGGACCACCAAAGGTTTCACAGTCTTTTATTAAGGAAACTGCCTCTAGACTTAGTTTATTGCAACCTGAAGCAGACGCGCGCGTCCACTTTATCTTGGAGCGAGATCGTGACTAATATGTTTCTTACGCTTATACACTGCAGTTTCACCTTCTCTTTAGCGATGACGGGTAAGAAAAGTATTTTTCAAATAACATTCGCTTCTATCACTTAGCAACAACAATTGACAGGCTAATCAATTGTCACGTTTTTTCTGTTAAATCATAAGCTCTGCGGCCAACAATATGTTTTGTTATTGTTCATTAATTTAAATCAGCAGGCAATGCATAGGTAACTCAATCCTACGCGAGCGTTATTCTGGCATTTTTGAGTATGTTTGAAGAAAAGGTAAGGGTACTTGTGCGATTTCAAGAACGAACGTGTAATAAATTAGGGATCCTCAAGCTTCACATTTAAAACTAGAACGCGGTATTGAAATGTGGCCCCTAATGCGCCCTTCAACCTTCAAGTGCACACCTAATATTATCTTTGTTACATAAACACGCATACTCGCACACACTCACGCACACAGTAGATTGCATCAGCGCGTGCGCGTTAATGATACGTACAGGTTTTTGATCTAAAGCAGGAGTCGCATGGCCTCCAAGATACACGCCATGCGCTCGCCATCTCGGAGACCATAAAGAGTCTCACAATGCCTCACAGATAGCAGCACAATATATAGCGTTTGCTGTTTGCTTGATCGATGCCTCTGGAAAGGCCTGATATGTTTTCGGCTGGATGGACAAAGTTGTCCATTTTAGAGCTGTTTGAAAGTTCCTGTGTGTTTTTAGCGGCAATGGCTGCACTATTTTGTCCTTTTTTGACGCAGTTTGAGGCTTCAGAAATGGGCCAACAAATTGCCGAATTGGCTCGTTTTTGTCGCGTTACTTGTCAAACAAAACACGTTAAAGGCGCTCTGAAATACTTATTTAGTAACTGTGGAATGAATTCACTATAGCAGTACTTATGGTTCCACGAATTCAACGCCACAAAAATTTTAAAAATTCGTCTAGTGCGAGTGGAGTTACAAAGGTTTGTCGTATGCTGCGATTGCAGTATCTCTCCTCTCGTCCCGACGAAAGCGCTGGAAGCTAAGCAGGAAGGTGGAGCAGGGACAAAGAAACCGCTGCACCTCGTGATCTTGAGCACTTTTTTTCTTCGAATGCGCGGCTTTTTCAGCGTGATCGCGTGCGCACGCGTGGACGAGTAGCGGCCTCCCGCCGTGATCTCTCTTACTTGCTTTTTCGGTCACAGACGCACAGACAATTTTTCGCTCACAATCAACGAGGTCGACGCCGACGGCGGGGTTTCTGCGACACAATCTCTCTAAAGCTATCTTGGTAAAAAAGCTCTTGGGGAACCTCTTGTTGGGAATAGCCGTCATTTGCAAAAGCCGGACTTGCCTCCTAATCCTTACCCTATATGTCAGCGTTTCCCCATTTAATGTACAAGCCCATATGTAATTTACTCTCTTGATGGCAAAGTTGTTCAAGCCTTTTGGTACACTCTAAGTCAAATCCTGGCTAGACTACATGCCCACGGGCAGGAAATCAAGTAAAATTATCGCCGCTTCTAGGCGGCTCCGTAGCCGTGTTGCAGAGAAACCGGCCCGATTTGAAGTGGCCTTCAGAATAGCCAGGACAAAGATTAGCCAGGATTTTAGGTCAAAATTCTTTTTGCAAGATACGGCCTGCGGTTACATTCTAAGGCAAAAGGGTGTTGAAAGGGTGAGTGGTTCGTCCTTTTGGGGACTAATGGGCCTGCCACAACCATTATTCTCTTTAAGGACTAACGGCACCGGGTCTAAAAGTTAGTCCCCAGAGGGAGTAACATTTAGTTCTCACATTCACACCTTAGTAAGTAACCGTTAGTCCCACAGTTTACCCCGAAGGACTAACATTTAGTTCTCATAGTTGCACCTTATAGAGCAACTGTTAATCCCCACATTTACACCTTACCAGGCAAACGTTAGGCCGAACAGTTGCACCTTGCCGGACGAATGGTTGATCCACTCAAATACTCCAATCGGATGAGCTTTTCGTCCCCAGTTCAAACACTGTTTTTTGTTTATTTTCCGCTAGGCCGAGTACTATTTTCGCCTGTTTTTCTGCGCAGTGACCAACAAATTCCGCAGAAAAGAACACGCGAAAAAGTAGTTAGCAACCTATGTGTAACTGCTTTCGCAGTCACGGCAACAACGACAGACAAAAGTGAGACATCGAAATGTTTTATTTTTCTACATACACATGAAGTTTCCCCATTATTTTTAAGTGAATTCATGGTGAAGTGTAGAAGTTCAGTCTCATTGTCTAATCTTTTTCACTCCTTGGGGAGCTCCTCCAACGGAAGCGATAGATGACCGGCATTGCCGACGCCAGCGCACGCTGCCTTCTACCTGTTGTGTTCCCACGGCTGCACTTAAAATAATATAGTAAAAATAGTTAGGCACACGTCACCGAAGATAAAGATTCACGCATGTGATAAGTACGTGCACGTTAATATAAAACAAGCGTTAAAATATGTCACTCAAATAACTTTACCTTCACATCTCACAAAGTACATCTGAAGCTGCTCTGACGAAAGAGATAAATGACGGGCACCACAGCCGCCAGCGCACAGTCTTCAGCATGGTGTGTATCCACGGCTGCACAAGAAGTATGTAAAATAGTGAGTCACACGTGACAGAGGATGTATACAAATGAATATTAGAAGTACGCGCAAGGTAAAATGAAAACATATGTGAGATATGACATGCTAATAATTTCACCGTGATGTAACACATCGCCAAATACTCATTTCGATCCCTGTAGCGCAACAGCTTAGCAGCGGCGGCCGCAGTCACAACTCCACGAACCACCGTGCCGCTAACAAGTCGGCAAGTCCTAAGCAAGTGACGTCGTTCAGCTCGAGCAAGCAAATGCGAGACGAAACACGGCACTGCACGCGGAGTGTCAGCCGCCAGCGAACTTCCAACAGGAGAGCAAGCGTATGCTTGGCCGCCGCCACGAACAGCACCGAGCTGCTATGGAGCTAGCGCCGAAAAAATCGACAGTAATGCGGCCCTTTTCCACAAACACGAGCGAGTTCAGCGCGCAAACGAGGGTCCGCCGCTGCAGCCAACGGACTGCGCCGAGCTGCTTGCGACCGACTGACGGGCAAGCCAACTGAAATGGCGACCAATTTTCAGTGAGTTCCGACGCTAGCGAAAGCCCCGCCAGCCCGTGCTGGTGCACTTACAGCGCGCGACATGCTACAACCAAGGTCTTCACGAGAACCCTCAACGTGTTTTCGACGACTCCCAACACAGCGGCGATGTTTCAGCCCAATATCATCAGCACGGAGTTCATCGCGGCGGCGAAGACAGGCGAGCACTCGATGAACGAGCGTACGGGCGGCTGGCGGCAATGGTGGCCAATTCCCAGGCGTTCGCAAAGCACAGGCAAACTGCAGACGCCGAAGCTGAGCTTCGCGATGCATTTCGTGCGTGCGATATACAACAGGACCGAGCAAGCACAATCCGTGTCGCACACGCGACAAGTAGAGTAGAATAAAGAATGATAACCTACTTGCCTAAGAATCCAGCGCTGTTTTCTGCCCTGAGTAGGACTGAAGTATATATCCGATAGGCCTGCTCTTCTCGGCCGCCATATTGATCTTCCCAACTATTGCTGTCATGTGTTGGTCATGACTATCTTGAAGCCAGAGATTTACAGCGCGGCATGGGGACCTGTCGAGGCTTGTTCCGGAGTTCATGGGTTCAGCGAAACGCTAAAGCAGCAGCCCACGCTCATCCAGGCGTACACACAAGCACAACGTCGTAGTTATTAGATCGTCGAATCTAGGTGGCCGTGGTCGAGCACTCCGAGCGCGCCGCTGCGCAACCGCCACCGGCAAAATACGGGGAAAGACTGAGCCAGCAGAGGAGGAGAAGGACATGTGTTCTCTCAATGCCACCTAAAAAAAAAAGTTCAGGCCTGCTCACTGCCGCTGTGACGTCACGCGTGTTGACCGAGCCACGCGGGCGGCGCGTCTCGTCGCCTACCGCGGAAACAAACGATCGCTTGGAGTTACACATATGTGACCGCTTTATTTTGCATTTTGCACTGTAATCAGCGCTGCTTTAAGCAAGCCACGACGCTTTAACGTTCGTTCTCACTTATACACATAGCGGTGGCAACAACAAAATGACGTCGGCCTCGGAAGTTTATAATGAAGAGAAATGAGTACGACGGACATTGGATTTGCACATTCATTTTACTAACATTTCATCTTTTGGCCCAGCCTTTGTCAAAGAAGTACATGCTTTTCGGTTTCCTTATGTACAGACTATAAATAATAGTGTTGCGCACAATAATCACAAAGAGCATGAAAATTCGAAATAGCGATAACGCCGGCGAGGTTGATCATACGGCAAGTTATATCTAATTGGTCATTACAGACACATGCTGTGCTCGCAATGATACAGATAGATGGCGCGTGACAAAAACACAATCAGGTTCAAAGCTGGTCGAGTTCATTATTGATCATCATGCCATATAGGTGAAGTAGAGCTCTCTGAATGAAAACTCTTAAGGGAACAAAGAAAACACGCACTTGCTACACTCGCAACTACTTTTATCAATCGCTAGTATACTAAGCATTTCAATGCAAAACACTCCAGCGCAATATACAAAACACTGAAATGAGGCAACCAGGTGGCATACAGTAAGTACAGAAACAAATCATTGATTTACTAAGCAATATGTTGCAGACCACTCGAGAACAATAAAATGGCGAAGATGATAATAAAGCCTCGAGCAACCGTGCAGGCAGACACAGGTGATACACGCTTCTCAGTAACCGCCATAGTAAGCATTATGAATGGCGAGGGCTTTCATTGGCGTGTACGGTAAAATACCCTGTTGTGCAGAGACTATGAACACTACAGTAACGTAACTTCACAGTATGAGAAAAGCATAAATGAGTTTTTGAAGAAAAAAGCTGTGTTCTTCACATTTGCAATGTACATAGAACGCACAGAAACTTCCTGTTCATTTTGAAAACTTCTCCAGCTTCCTTTGCTGTGACTGCGTTTATTTTTAGTGTTCAAAATATCTGTCTTCATCTGAACGTAGTTTTTCAGAAGGGT